TGAGACTGCCAACAATGTCTCATTCTATAGAAGGAAGCTGGACGACTTACGCCTGTCGGAAGAGAATATCCCGTTGGTGACCCCTGATGCATCGCCTAACGATGCGGATGAGGAGCAAGTTCCCTACGTCGCTGCCAGAGAGTCCGAAGCACCAACCGACAGTTTAGCACTAGCAGACAATTCAGCACCTGCCAACAATTCAGCAGACAATTTAGCAAAGGTGTGGAATTTCATCTCTAATTCTCCCATTCAATTTCATCAAGGCATGATTGGTTTTGCTACATACTAGAGTTTTAGTTTTTTCAATTTGAAACTCGTTTCACTTTCGTAACTAGAGTTTCTAGTTTAGCAATCACTAGGAACATTGCCTGCGTGCTGCTGCGGGTTCTGATTCCGTAATGCATCTTCAGTTTATAACCTTTGATGTAACCAACATGTGATGTTTCCGTCAAACTACGCAGAGAAAATGTGATTTCGGACACAATTTCATTAGTTAACAACTTGGTATTCAATTTGAGGGACAAAAAAATTCAGCAGATGAGTGTTAGATTTTTCTTCGTTTGCAGAATCACACTCATTTGCATCCAACAACCAAAGCCTAGCCCTCGTCGAATAAGAACCAGGCCAAAGCAGGATTTTAGTGCCACAATTATCAATACAACAGTACATTACTATAGCTACACAAGCTTACAAACTGCAAACAATCCCTTCATTATTATGGGAATGTCAAGCTTAGGTTATATATAATCGCGTGGTATAAGACAATTTTATCAATTGTCGAAGAGCATGAATTTACTTATGTCATCCATCACGGGGTAGAAATGCTCATTATTCGGCAACAGGTAGAAACCAATTGTGGCTTGCTTAAGATACAGAAGTTTGATGTTTTTGCCAGCACTTTCGAGCCCTCTAGCGTAAGCCAATTGCCAGTCCTGAACAAGATCCAAACCTGCCACCACAACTAGGCTCTTTGGGAACTTGACAGCTTCGAGGCTTTGACCCCGGGGACCAAATGGGTTACATGTTGGATGGTCCCTATCTTCACCATCGGGGAGAAAAGCTCTCCAGTACCAGTCCCAGTCTTGGATGGTTACAAAGTATTTCCCATCCAACCGCAACTTGGATTCAGTCTGCTCCTACCCACCAAACATAGGGTTGAGCAGTATATTTCCCAGTACATTGATTATAGATTTTGCAGCTCTTAAAGCAACATTTGTGTACAATGTTCCTGCCAAAGCTATCGTCAGCTAGATAGATATGAATGTTTGAGTCCCTTGTACTTTTAAGCCATGATCTAGAGTTCACCCACCTCAAGGATGTCCATCCATCATCATAGGCACATGGATAGCGATTTTTAGAAGCCCTACGATAATTAACAGAGACCACTACAGCCTTGCAGATACCAACTAGTCGACGACACAGAATATCATATATGCCGTTGTTTGAAGAAGAGTGTGCAAAGCTTCCACCATGGAAGAAAATTATGACAGGAATAACCTCTTGGCTCACCGCTCTCTCAGGATCAACAATGTTCAGTGGGGATAGATTAACATTGAACAGATGATAGATTCGACTGAGCAGGCTAGTTTCGTGGGCGATGATAACATCAAACGAGACAACCCCATTAACAGGGTTATCTATCATTGATAGTTATTATTAAGTTCCCATAATAAGAAGGTGACTATTATTAGCACTTCAAAAATCCTATTTTACATTCCTTAAAAGTGTATTTTTCTTTTTAATTATAGAAAGTTTGGAGTGCCAATAACAATTTTCAATAAAAAAAGTCATATATTATCATATAGTTTTCATTGTGCATGAATTTCTCCATGTATATGTATATGCATATTACGTACATATGTATGTTTAGATACTATAGTTACGTACCGATACATTTGTACCGTTATATTTGTACCGATACATTTGTACCGAAAGTTATGTACCGATAAATTCTTACCAAAACTTACGAATCGATACTTCTGTACCTATGAGTAATATAATGTACCTAAAGTTATGTACCGAAACTTATGTACCGATACTTCTATACCTATGAATAAAATAAGGTATCGAATGTTATATATAAATTGATTTTGTTTTGTTGTTGAATTTTTTTAATAATGAGAATTTGTATTTTGAATAAATTTTTATCTATTAATATGATTAGATCACAAAATAAAAAACATAATTATGGATGGGTAAAGAATTTCGAGTGAATTTTTATCTATTAATATGATTAGAGCACAAAATAAAAAATATAATTTGGAGTGCAAAATGAGATTTTTGAGGTGCCAATAACAATTTCTAATAAGAAAAGTCATATATTATCATATAGTTTTCATTGTGCGTGAATTTCTTCATGTATATGTATATGCATATTACGTACATATGTATGTTTAGATACTATAGTCCCGGTCCTGGATGAATTAAAAAAATTCAATAACAAAACAAAATCAATTTATACATAACATTTGATACCTTATTTTATTCATAGGTACAGAAGTATCGGTACATAACTTTAGTTATATTATATTACTCATAGGTACAGAAATACTGATTTGTAAGTTTTGGTAAGAATATATCGGTACACAAGGTTATAGTCTAAAACTCATCTTTTTTAAGGATTAAAATGAAGTTTTCTATAAATTGGTGGTTTTGAACATTAGTCCTTGCAAAAGATTAAAATTAAAAAAAAACCTTGTGCTAGATTACATATTCAATTTAATCCCTTGAATGTACTTTTATCAAAATTTACATTCAATTTTTGTTATTTAATGTGTATTTTTATTTAATCTCTCCACATTAGATAAGTAAATGGCTCGTGCTGGCTCATCCCATTATGTAAGTCGTCTCTAATTGCCAGTCGCCTTCCTCAAAGACTCAGGTTCAAGAAAATTCGGTAGTACAGCTGCCTCACATGCATTTCCTAATTACTTCACAATGGAATCGTCCTCGTCCTCTGCAAGGAAGCAGCCATATAGTCTGGCTATTGAAGGGGGCAAAGTCCTAGGCCAAATGTTTGAGACTGCCAACAATGTCTCGACACAAGTAAAGTTAGCCCAGGTGGATCTGGGCTGTGCTTGGGCCGAACTAATTAATAAATGGGTCGTGCTGGCTCATCCCATTGAAATAAAATATAGGTGCAACTTTGCCTAGCTATTGCACAAAAATTAGTTGCACAAAATGCCATGAATTCTGATGAGAGCCGGAGGGGGGGGGGGGCGGCATGGACACAAGTAAAGTTAGCCCAGGTGGATCTGGGATGTGCTTGGGCCGAACTAATTAATAAATGGGTCGTGTTGGCTCATCCCATTGAAATAAAATGTAGGTGCAACTTTGCCTAGCTATTGCGCAAAAATTAGTTGCACAAGTTAATTTATCTATTATATCAGAGTAGAGTATACACTCTCAAAATATAGTTGCAACTTTACCTAATTACGTAAATATTGTTGTACATGTTGTACATTGTTATTATTATTATCACACGAATATAGTTAAATTGTTTTAAGGTTCATGTCTTTACTTAACAGGCTAACTCCAATTACCATTACTATTGCTAGCTTCAATTCAAATCGTAAATTAACTGTAACTTCTCTTATTTATTCTAGGTTAGTTTTTGTTGTGAAACTTAGATAACCAAAATTAAACTCATTAAGTCTCAAATTTTAGTGCTCGCAAGTATACGAATCGAATGAATGTATAGCATATAAGCACAGATATCGTCCCACAGAGATCAAATTGATTCTAAGTCTTACTAACTAAATTGGAACAAATTATAATTGGGAAGCTTTAACTGAAAAGATAGAAGATTTGAATTAAACTAAAAATGAAATATGACTTTAAAAATAAAATACATGAAATTATAAAATTAAAAATAAAATACATGAAATTATAAAATTAAAAATAAAATACATGAAATTATAAAATTATAAAATTATAAATATAAGAAAATAAAACCTAGGGCATCCGAATTCACCGTAACCAATTCTACTTAATTCCCTTAATATGTTATGCTCAAGTAGTTCCCCAATACTAATAATCGATTTTTCCTAAATTATTCGACAGTCATGACATCTGGTTACATCAAAAGTATCATTACATGTTAACCATTTATGGCATCTAGATGAATTTAAACAAGTAAGAACCCATTAAGCTCTATAGAAATCATTGGAAAATCACACAAACCCTAATTGTATGGCATCGATAAATAGGTGCTTATGGTATCAATTGCAAGAAGCTAAACCCAAGTTAACTATGGCATCTACTTTAACTTGCATCAAATCAACCTAATTTAAACCTAGATGGTGAGCAAACATCTAAATAAAAATCAAGCGCATTACGAATAGTGAAAGATACTCAATAAAAATGAAAAACTTGATAATAACATTGCCACAAGGCAATTAGTATTCATGATCAGGCTACATCGTAGCCCTAGAAAAGAAAAGAAACTAGAAAAGCTCTTCTTTCTTCCCTTCCTTGCCGCAACCCCCTCTCAATCCAATTAAAACCCCACTAGAATCCTATCGCTAATGGACTTGAAGTCCTTATTAAAGAAAATGAAAAATAAACGGAAATAATAAAAACTCAAAATTAAGTTCTCTCCTAAATTCCATTGAATAACATTCCCATCTCTATTTGATACCAAGGTAACTTGGTATTATATATGTGTAAGGAAGAGGAGAGAGAAGAATGTAGTATTGTTAAGTTCCATAAACACTGAGTTTCATAAACAATTTAGTAAGTTTCATAAACAATGTCGTAAGTTTTCATAAACAATGTCGTAAGTTTCATAAACAATGTAGAAAGTTTCATAAACAGTTTGTGTGATGACAAGTGGATCCACACGTCAAATTTTTTTTAATATTAAAATTATGTCATTTTCATTAAAATTTAAGTTTTTTTGTCATTTTTATTAAAATTTAAAGGTTTTACATTAAAATTTAAGTTTTTTTAATTAAATAAAGTTACAGCATGGTTTTTTTTTTATGAATAAACTCCGCAAGGAAATAAACACAAACTAGAAAATTCTTCGGAACCAAAATAGAAGTGAAACAACACAGACGGTACAAAACTAGACCGCTTTAAGTCGGCCGATCTTAGGTCTGAATCGGTATGCCAATGTCGACTAAAGTTACACAGGTCAAATTGTGGTTCTGACAATCAAGATCAACCCCAGCAGTTTCTCGTAAAATGTCAATGTTGAGAAGTAGGGGCAATCAGGATCCCGAATTTTGATCATCAGACTAACCAAGATTAAAAATTTGAACAGGCCAATTACGCTTCCGACCATGAGGATCAACTCCAGCAGCTTCCAAGGAAATGTCAATGTCACGATGATGGGAAGCACGAGCAATGCTTATTCGCAGATGAATCCTTGCAGCCGGACAAGCTTCAGTGCCAACTGCTGCTGATCCGTCCACGTTAGATTTTCCTGATGTCACAGCAATTGGTTCCTTAAATGTCAAAATTGTTTGCTGCCAGTGCGTTTTGGGAGTATATGGGGATGTTGACAAAACAGCCGGCGTTTCTTTGCAGAACCTGCTGGTAAAACCAGTCTCAAACCACAAGACAACTCCAAAACACCAGGTTGTTTCAGATTCCAAATCAGTTAAGCTGCTAGCTGCACTGCTGAAGTTTGGTTCCAACTCAACACTTGCAGTAAAATCGACTTCATCAGGCTTCATTGTCACCAAGTCAAAGCTCTGCGAAACAAAATAAAAGGAAATTCATTGTCCACCAAATAAGAGTCACTGGTACGCTTATTCAGTTTTGGACCTGGTACATCATATAATGTTCCAAAAATTCACAAGTACAAAGACATCTTCCTAGGTCTTCCTCTACCCATTTTGCAAGCCTCTATCTCATAGTCGCATCTAACCATTATATAATTATTATAAATGTTATATATAAATTATAACATTATATACTTAAACTAAATTATTAGGATGATTTTCCCCCCTTAACATTATTATGTTGAGCCTAATTCTTGTATACCTAAATTTTGATCTACGTTTATCACACTTTGGTCCTAGCAACTGCCATATTCTGCATCCTATTTCTTCATTTATAGACCTATTAAGGACGTCACAAGAGATAATAACTGATTTGTTACTGAACCATGTATACAAATTTAATACAAAAACTAAGAATGCAAACCAGTCGATGGGCACTGAGACCTTGATGCCATTAGCAAAAAATGTTTTATCGCATTCAAAAGGCATGACTTTTGAAAGATGAATATAGACAACAAGACAAGAAAGATAAAATTGAGCATCAAGGAGCACACAGAGAGCGACTGATCCATCACAAAGTCATGTGTAAAACAAAGACCAATTGAAGACCTGATACATTGCGTATGCACATAGTAACACTTGCATAACACCAACCTGGAGAACAGCAGCATTGGTCACTAAACCATGACCATCCACCGTATCTACAATAGGGATTTGTGCTGCACCTTCAACAAGCTCCTTGCCAACAGAAGACATGTTGAAACCATACACATTTTCCCAAAATGGAAGACTGGTGGCTCCTTTTCCAAATCCTGCAACAAACTAAGAAAAAAGGGAAATTTGTATGGAAAAAACAAAAGAACAAAGTAACCCTAAGAACAACATATGGAGAGGTATGTGAAGAATTGAAGAGATAAGAGGCTAGAGAAAGAACTCACAATAGTTGCTGTATCAGGAAGCATGGCACCTCCAGGTTTTAACCACCGATCCCGTGCATAAAGCACTGAACTGAGCATTGCCTCATAAAGTAGGCAGTACCCCATCCATTCACTCAGTAATACATCAACACTATGAGGTTCAATTAGTATGGATTTATCAAGCTCCTCAACCATACCTTGAACCACTTCTACTACCCCAGTGCCATGGTTAGTACTTTCACCAGGGCTCTTACTAGACAAAAGACCATTATCTTTTGCGATCTGCGATTAAAAAACCAATTAAGTACTCGCAACAAACTCTGTCAGGACATGAAGAAATCCAATTAAAAAACAGGGAAAATTTACCCGAGTTGCCACGGAAGCCATTTTCTCACTGGCTTCAATTGCAATTACCTTTGAAGCACCTGCTTGGGCTGCAAAGAGACTATTAGGGGAAAACAAGATTAAGTTAGAGGAGCAATAAGTTGTTTGTAATGGAACATTGATAATAATCAACATGATCACACTTCAGACATAAAGGCTCATCCTTAAGTCCTTACCTTTTTGCGTTGGTAATGGATGAGTTAACAAGACATATTCAAGATGATATTCCTTGGTGTATGCTTTTCGCAGACGATATAGTGTTGATAGATGAAACTCAGGAAGGGGTAAATGCAAAGCTTAACCTTTGGAGAGAAGTGTTGGAATCTAAAGGTCTTCGCCTAAGCCGATCAAAGACAGAATATATGGAGTGCAAGTTCAGTGCAAATGGAGGCCAAAACGAGTTAGGGGTGAGGATCGGAGATCAAGAAATACCAAAGAGCGACCGTTTTCGTTACCTAGGATCTATCTTGCAAAAGAACGGAGAATTAGATGGAGATCTCAACCATAGAATACAAGCTGGATGGATGAAGTGGAAGAGTGCATCCGGCGCGTGTTATGTGACCGCCGTATGCCACTGAAGCTGCTTAAGGGAAAATTTTTATAGGACGGCAATAAGGCCGGCGATGCTGTATGGCACAGAATGTTGGGCGGTGAAACATCAACACGTACACAAAATGGGTGTAGCAGAGATGAGGATGCTTCGTTGGATGTGTGGGCACACAAGAAAGGATAAGATTAGGAATGAGGATATCCGGGGTAAAGTAGGAGTAGCCGAAATTGAAGGAAAGATGAGAGAAAATCGGTTACGGTGGTTTGGACATGTGCAAAGAAGGCCTACTGACGCTCCGATTAGAAGATGCGACGATGGGACAGAGGTTCAGGGCCGAAGGGGTAGAGGAAGACCTAGGAAAACTTTGGAAGAGACTCTAAGAAAAGACTTAGAGTACTTGGATCTAACGAAGGACATGACACAGGATCGAGCACAATGGCGTTCTAAGATTCATATAGCCGATCCCACTCAGTGACTTGGATTTTCCAAGTCTCCAACCGAGAAGTTTTCCTCACTCGGAAAATTAAGGGAACACTACCCCAACCTACATGCTCCACTCAGAAAGCTTCAACATACAAGCTTCAACAAAAGAAAATTCAAAGAACTTAGCGAAGAAGGCTTTGGTGTATTTAACACAATACGTTGAAATGAAGGAAAGCTTATTTATTGATATCCCCGATAAGCTACAAATATGTACATATACATGAGTCAAAATAAACACACAAGAGGGAGCCTTCACAAAGGTTGCTTAGGAGAAGTCTCAGCAGTCGGTAGAGCCCCAGAAAGAGAAGGCACCGGAGGGGGATCATTTGGAGCCTCAGTACTGGACAGAACCCTAGAAGGAGGAGGCATCAGAGGTTGATCATTTGGAGCTTCATTACGCGGTACAGCCCCAGAAGACGAAGGCAATAAATGCCTTTGGAACAAACCTACAAATCTCTGATGATCAAGTAAAACCTGACCATCAGTTTCCTTCATCTGGTCAAGCTTCCTCTTCATGTTTGTAGCATAGTCATGTGCGAGCCGGTGCAACTGTTTATTCTCATGCTTGAGCCCTCTAATCTCCTGTTTGAGACTCATCACTTCAGCCGCCAATGATTCAACTTGGCGGGTTCGAGCAAATAGGCGTTGGGCCATATTAGACACAGAACCTGCACACTGAACACTGAGAGCCAGCGAATCCTTAACAGCTAACTCATCAGACCGTTTGGAAAGTAGTCTGTTATCTTTGGGAGTGAGAAGGTTCCTGGCCACCACCGCAGCGGTCATATCATTCTTCATCACGGAATCCCCAACGGTAAGAGGACCAGTAGGGGAGACGAAGGATGGGCGCCATATGTTGTCTGGAGAAGGCGGGGCTGCCTCTTCAACAAGGTTCAAGTCAAAACGACGGTCGGAGGGGCCAGACATTTTCAAAGGTGTTGAAGAGAGAAGAGGTCGGACAAATCAAGATCTTAGAAGTGCAAGAATGAAGCTTCTACTGGTGGAGATTCAAGTGTGCTTTGGAACTTAATGCCAGCCCTTATAAAAATCTGCACTCGACGGAGCTTCAGAAATCGAAGAGGCGCCTGCTCAGAAATCGAAGAGGCGTTTGCTTTCTCAAAAGCTGGGCTGCTTAGAGATCACACGAGGGTTGATCTCAGAAATCTAAGAGGCGTTTGCTTTCTCAAAAGTTGGGCTGCTCAAAGACCACGAAGGCTGGTCTCAGAAATTGAAGAGGCGCTCGCTTTCTCAAAAGCTGGGCTCCCCAGAGACCACGAGGGCCGATCTCAGAAATCGAAGAGGCACCTACTTTTCCAGCCTTGTCAGCACCTGTCACGCGCACACTCAGCTTTGCGGAAATTATGGGCATTCTGTCGAAGACTTCTGGGGAAGTAGAAAACACATGAATCTTACTGTTCAATCACCCACTTCCCACACGCAACAATAGCTCATGGGTACCACAGAAAACTTTGCCAAAGTTCTCTGCCAAAGTTGAGCACGTGAAGCTTGCAGCTCCCACTACATCGCTCTGACCAAGAAGGGTAAAAGAATAGCAAAGAAACAGCAGCACTAACAAAGTTTAGACCCATAAATTTTGAAGGTCTAGCTACCATATTATTACCCACAAGGGTAAAGGAACAGTACCACTGCTGGATAATTGGACAGTCCCTGTGTGTCAACCTCTGTGCTTCGTGGCAAGGTAGACTAGCAAACATGCCCAACCTTTACTCACATTCGAGAAAACACTCCCAATAAGATTGCTTGCTCCAAAATCGAAGAGGCACCGTCCTCCGAATCTCGAGAGCCAGACTCCCAACATGACTACTTTCTTAAAAATCGAAGAGAGGGTAAAGGAACAGTACCATTGCTGGATAATTGGAAAGTCCCTGTGTGTCAACCTCTGTGCTTCGTGGCAAGGTAGACTAGCAAACATGCCCAACCTTTACTCACATTCGAGAAAACACTCCCAACAAGATTGCTTGCTCCAAAATCGAAGAGGCACCGCCCTCCGAATCTCGAGAGCCAGACTCCCAACATGATTACTTTCTAAAAAATCGAAGAGACACTGCTCCCCGAATCTTCGAGAGCCAGACCCCCAGCGTGACTGCTTTCTCAAAAATCGATGAGGCATCGTTCTTCGAATCAATCGAAGAGGCGCTCGCTTTCTCAAAAGCTGGGCTGCTCAGAGACCACGAGGGCCGATCTCAGAAATCGAAGAGGCACCTACTTTTCTAGCCTTGTCAGCACCTGTCACACGCACACTCAGCTTTGCAGAAATTATGGGCATTCTGTCGAAGACTTCTGGTGAAGTAGAAAGCACATGAATCTTACTGTTCAATCACCCACTTCCCACACGCAACAATAGCTCATGGGTACCACAGATAACTTTGCCAAAGTTCTCTGCCAAAGTTGAGCACGTGAAGCTTGCAGCTCCCACTACATCGCTCTGACCAAGAAAGGTAAAAGAATAGCAAAGAAACAACACTAACAAAGTTTAGACACATAAATTTTGAAGGTCTAGCTACCATATTATTACCCACAAGGGTAAAGGAACAGTACCACTGCTGGATAATTGGAAACTCCCTGTGTGTCAACCTCTGTGCTTCGTGGCAAGGTAGACTAGCAAACATGCCCAACCTTTACTCACATTCGAGAAAACACTCCCAACAAGATTGCTTGCTCCAAAATCGAAGAGGCACCGTCCTCCGAATCTCGAGAGCCAGACTCCCAACATGACTACTTTCTCAAAATCGAAGAGAGGGTAAAGGAACAGTACCATTGCTGGATAATTGGAAAGTCCCTGTGTATCAACCTTTGTGCTTCGTGGCAAGGTAGACTAGCAAACATGCCCAACCTTTACTCACATTCGAGACAACACTCCCAACAAGATTGCTTGCTCCAAAATCGAAGAGGCACCGTCCTCCGAATCTCGAGAGCCAGAGACTCCCAACATGACTACTTTCTCAAAATCGAAGAGAGGGTAAAGGAACAGTACCATTGCTGGATAATTGGAAAGTCCCTGTGTATCAACCTTTGTGCTTCGTGGCAAGGTAGACTAGCAAACATGCCCAACCTTTACTCACATTCGAGACAACACTCCCAACAAGATTGCTTGCTCCAAAATCGAAGAGGCACCGCCCTCCGAATCTCGAGAGCCAGACTCCCAACATGATTACTTCCTCAAAAATCGAAGAGACACTGCTCTCCGAATCTCGAGAGCCAGACCCCCAGCATGATTGCTTTCTCAAAAATCGAAGAGGCATCGTTCTCCGAATCTCGAGAGCCAGATACCACAGACCACTTTTTCAAAGTGCTCTGACAGAGTTAAAACATGTGAAACTGACAGCTCCCACTACCGTGCTATGACCAAGCAGGGTAAAGGAATAGCATTACTACTTGTTAGGGAGACTCCTATATATGTCAACCTCCATCCCCAACGGACAGGCAGACCTGCAAAAAATGCTCAACCCTTCATCATATCTGAGAGGGCACTCCCAACGAAGCCTTTCGAAATATTCAGCTTTCTTTCCCCCCGATAATACCTCTGCAAACAAGCTATACTAGAGCAAGAATATCTCATATCATCAGGGTTAAAAGCAAGAGTATCCCATATCATGCTTTTTCCCTGTCTTTTCCTTTGGCCTTGTTTTTTACCTGCAAGACAAGGAGAAAGAGAGCAATCAGTCAGCACTTGGAATCAAGCTTCCAGCCAAGAACTGACTGCCTGGAACCCCTTACCTGATTACTTACCTGGCATTGCTCTCGAGTACTCATCTTCAACATCTTATGTTTCCAGGGAAGATTCTGCATCTGCTTGAGGAACAGATAGGGCAAGTGCGAAGGATACAAGGAAGCATGTGGAGACAAGCGTAACAGCACACGTGCCGATACATCCATTACTCTGTCAAAAGCAAAAGTATCCCATATCAGCAGGGTGGAACGTACTCTAGATTTGATGGACTTGTTTTGACCCTCAAATTCTTCAGTCGGCCTTATACTCTGGAGGAAACCAGAAAACCCTCCAGCTCAGTTCAAGAATAAGCCTGTGGAAAGTTACTTCTTCAAAAGCAAAAAGTATCTCATATCATCTCTTCTCATTTTTCTTCTCTTTATCCTTCATGCTGCTGCTGCAAGATGGGGAGAAGGTGAACAATCAGTCGGAGCTCTGATTGCTTACCTTGTCTGTCACCTCTTTCAGCAGACCCCCTAGCTCGGCGACTTGGGGGACTCCTACTACATGGTTTGTATCGCGCTTGACCAAGCCTGAAACTACAAGTAAGCTTCAAGTGAAATTGATACATTACCTTGTGCATCTCCACCAGTTAAAGATACCACCCCTGGATGGAGGAAGAGTACTTCCAGAGAAGATGCCACATCTACCTATGAGACAGATAAGGCAAGTCAAGACGACTCCACACTCCGATACTTAGAAGTTTCGTGATTACGAGATCATTCTCCCACAATATTTCTTAATGTCATTTGTACTACTAAATCATTCACTTGTACTCACTAAAGGAGAGCTTGAACCTATGTACTTGTGTAAACCCTTCACAATTAATGAGAACTCTTCTATTCCGTGGACGTAGCCAATATGGGTGAACCACGTACATCTTGTGTTTGCTTTCCTATCTCTATCCATTTATATACTTATCCACACTAATGACCGGAGCAATCTAGCGAAGATCACAAAAAGCGACCGTTTTTCGCTACCTAGGATCTATCTTGCAAGAGAACGGAGAATTAGATGGAGATCTCAACCATAGAATACGAGCTGGATGGATGAAGTGTTAGAATGCATCCGGCGTGTTGTGTGACCGTCGTAGGCCACTGAAGCTCAAGGGAAAATTTTATAGGACGGCAATAAGGCCAGCGATGTTGTATGGCACAGAATGTTGGGCGGTGAAGCATCAACACGTACACAAAATGGGTGTAGCGGAGATGAGGATGCTTCGTGGGATGTGTGGGCACACGAGAAAGGATAAGATTGGGAATGAGGATATCCAAGGTAAAGTAGGAGTAGCCGAAATTGTAGGAAAGATGAGAGAAAATCGGCTCCGGTGATTTGGACATGTGCAAAGAAGGCCGAATGACGCTCCGGTTCGAAGATGTGACTACGGGACAGAGGTTCAGGGCCGAAGGGGTAGAGGAAGACCTAGGAAAACTTTGGAAGAGACTCTAAGAAAAGACTTAGAGTACTTGGATCTAACGGAGGACATGACACAAAACCGAGCGCAATGGCGTTCTAGGATTCATATAGCCGACCCCACTTAGTGGGAAAAGGCTTTGTTGTTGTTTGTTGTTGTTGTTGTTGATCACACTTCAGACATTCATTGCCTGAAATTAATATATAGAGACTGGCTATTTGAGAAACTGTTGTATTGTTCTTCAGCACGAGTTATGAATTCTATGCAAGAAACTCGTAAATCTCTTGCCCACATTAATGTTGAATTGATAGATAAAATATAGTCACTAGCATCTTTTTACATACTCAACAACCTTAAATATTTAAACTGAAACTAAAGTATTTGTAAACATTTCTAGAGAAAATGCAAAAACATTTCGTAGAATTTGTCTCTAGAGACGCACTTTAGATTGGACACTGGGAAGATTTAAAGAATCTCAATATCAGCTACAAGAGCCAACACAAATACAGGGTTTTGCAACCCATTTTCATTATTGTAAACTCATACCATACAAAACAGTTTCCTGCAAAGACAATCACACATGTTATTAACAGAGTCGTAAAACTTGTACTTTTCAAAGATTTTCGCTTCTTTTCTCCTTTTTCTTTTTCCTCACTGTTCAAATATTTCCCAAGGAGATGATTCAAGTAGTTATTATTCCAAGTTAAAGTTTTCCTAGAGCACATCTTCAACTGATCATATCAGAGGTCTAAGTTTCTAGTCATTACTAGTGTTAAAATGCAACAAGCAATTCTGTAGTTAACAAGACTCTTGGGTAATGCCGTCAAACCAAGAAAGCATTATCACCTCGATAGAACAAAGAAGCACAGAGATAATACGTAACAGCCCTTGTGACAAAACAGGCATTTTGACCGAGATTAAATCCATTATGAAGTACAGAATCAGAAACCACCAACTAATTGTTACTTCCATAAGAAAGCAACTAGCATGTCATCTCACCTTAGTATACCTGTGCCACAACCTACATCCATCACCACTGCACTCTTCAAGAGAGAGGGGTTCTTTAAAATAGCTTGTCCATAAGCATCCATTCTTACCTGCATAAATGACAATATATGAGTCCAAATCAAACTAAAATACAAACAGAAACAGACTTTTTCATTTCAAATTTTCTTCTGCCAGGTAATACAGATTAACTTAATACCTTATCACTGAGCATCTCTCTGTGAATGCCAAATGAACTGTAAGCGCCAAAGTAGTCATTGTTAACATTCTTGATATCCTTTGAACCATGATTTGGAATATACGCTCTTAAAAGCTGTTCTTTTTTCTTTCTATCAGCTGACCCAACATGTTCTCCTGAATCCAAACCATTGATGGCCACCTTTCCAGGAGAATTCACATTATTCAAGTGGCTATTGGATGATGAAGCAACATTTTTCCCACTTTCATTAGAGGTATCATAATCAATAGCAATCTTTGGCACATGAATATCATGATCTATGCAGATCTCTTCAAACTGCCTCAAATCACTCATAAGTTCGTCCTTGTCAACTGCTGCAGCATAGTCATCTTCACCTTCTTCATCTTCACCAAAGCTATACAAGACCGAATCATCTTGCAAGAAAGGTTTTAGATACTCGTCACTATCCCATCCAGGTGTAATGTCTTTGAAATTGACTGTTTCATGTAAATGATTCTGTAGATCTTGGTTGGAATGACAGGTCAGCCCGCAACTCCAACATCTGTTTTCAGCAACCTGGAAACAAATGGAATCAGCAGAAAATACAAAAAATAAAAATAAAAATAAAAACTCCAAAATTACAGGATGATGAAAACACTTTGCTCTGCACATCAACATTCAAATTCCCAACAACTGAAAAAACAAAAAGCACGCACCTAATACCAACAAACGAAGGAAAAATGAATAAACTTTTTAAAGGACTAACAATGCATTTCATACATCAATACAAATGCAGACAACTACAACAATTTGACTTGGGCATTTCGTGTTATGCCCAGCGTAAGGATTCAACAATTTGACTTGAGTACTTGGATCTAACGGAGGACATGACACAAAACCGAGTGCAATGGCGTTCTAGGATTCATATAGCCGACCCCACTTAGTGGGAAAAGGCTTTGTTGTTGTTGTTGTTGTTGTTGTATCCTAAAATCAACCAAAACAATAAATAAAATTTCACATTAAATAAACAAACTTCCATTTCCGACTTCTTAGCATTGCAGCCTGCAATTTGCAGCAGAAGATACTACCCGGTAAAAGCGAATTCTTCAAGTTTCGCTTACTCAAACAAATCAAAACCGAATGTGAAAGAACCACTCAAACAACGCTAATCCAATCCAATTACTGCATTCTATCTCAAAAAATAAAAAATAAAAAAATCATTCCCTTTGTTTGTCTGTCAGCCCAATGACTGACCTGAGAGCGAACGAAGTTAATGAGCTTGAAGGAGCCGTAGAAATTCAGACCCAGCGCTCTCCGAACGGCCTGAAAGTCGAAACGATGGGTCGAAGTGCAGTGGTCGAAGAGGTCGTCGCACGAGCTGTACCTGGTGTCGCAGAACAAGCACAGCAAGTCTGAGCCCTCTTCTTCTTCTTCGTCTTCTTCTTCTGGTTCTGCATTCCAATCGTTCCACTCTTGGAGCTCTTCGGATTCTTCGTCGTCGTCGTCTGTGAATGTGGGTTCGTATTCGGAGCCGTTCTTCGCCATGAGTAATCTGAGAGAGAAAGGAAGGAGGGAGGGTGTCTTCGCTTTGAACCTTAAACCCTCTACAAACCCTAATAACAGTAATAAAAATCTGAATTGGCGACTTTGCCATCGGATTCTTCGTTTTTGCAGCTGTACCCCTATTTTAAAATGTTTACATTTCCACCAGCCTCCAGCCGGTATTATAGGTAAAGAATCTCTCCCTCCTTCATAAATTCTGATTTTTACTCAAATTTCAATTTTTTTTTTTCACGTGAAAATTTTAAATTTTTATATTTATGAATTCAGACAAGAAAATTGGTGCATATCAATTTATAAATTCAGACTTTTACCCAAATTCTAAATTTATTTCTCTCATTCAAACATAGTGTAAGAGTAAAATGTCATTTGATTTCTTGAAATATTATTCGAACTGTTTGAAATCACCAATTAACCCTTATCGTCATATTCGATAAAATTTTATCTACTTTTTCAATCACGTGGCCACACGTGATTCTCTTAAGGTTAAAGTCGTCCAGTATTTGACAGAAAAATGAATGAAATTCATCATACCTGACGGTAATGGTTAATTATTTAATTTAATTATAAATCTTGCAAAACCCATACAAAATTATAATGTCCGTTAAAATTCTTTAAAATGTGTCACTTAGACCATCTCCAACCCTTTGCCTAAAACCTAAAATTTTTAGCCCATAAAATTTAGATTTTAACCCAGAAGCAGTTTTTCTGTTCCAACCCTTCTGGCCTTAAATTAATTTTATGAACATTTTAACCCAAAAATATTAAATTCCAATAAACATTGAAAAAATAACTAAATCGACACATGAAACTCATGAAACATGCTTTCCCAACGATTCTGTCTCTGCACTCCTCAACCATTAGGAGTACGGGGGCAGGATCAACTAAATCAATAGTCCATTTGAATGTGAGTCGTTGATCAACCAAAAAAGCCGTTGAGCTCAATTTTATTGGCAGATAAGTGAGAGACACACCTATGTGGGTGGGGACTCCACCACTAATCTTTGGCCTAAATCTGGGTTTTTATTTTTTTTTAAGTTTTAAATTTTAGGTTAAATTTAGAACTTGAGTTAGAATAGATTGGGAGGAGAATAGAAGGGGATTGGTAGATTTTAGGCCGTAGATTGGAGTTGACCTTTAAACAGTCCATTAAAATTCTATTAAATCCAAATTCACTGCACCCCTAAATTTGGGTCAGCAATCGATTCATATTTCATTTCAGGTTGCAAAATTAAGGTGGCAAAGGTGGCAAGTTCTGTTAAAAAAGAAAAAGACCCGCTAGGGTGTTGAATTCTACCACCGAAGTTACTCACCATCGACATCGTAGCATGATTTCGCTCTGCAATTTGAAGAGCCTTCGATTGGGGTTTTCAATATTTTCTTCTACATGTGCTTCCAAAGATCTAAAACCCTCACATTTCCCTCTTCAAATTCAGCTACTCTGCAGAAATTTCAGCTCAGAAATCTCACAAAACCACCATGGCTTCACAGTCAGTTATCTCATAAACTCATGTGGGTTGTCCCCAGAAAATGCAATTTCCGCCTCCAAGACGATCAAGTTGCAGTCCCCAGAAAGAGCAGACTCCGTATTGGCCCTTCTGGGAAGCCATGGATTCTCCCAAACCCAGATCTCGAAGCTCGTCAGGTCACGCCCACGGTTCCTTTTAGCCGATCCTGATCAAACCCTTTTGCCAAAGCTCGAGTTTTTCAGCTCCATTGGAGTTTCGAGAGAGGACGTTGCCAGAATTGTGGCTTATAGCCCAAATCTTTTGGTGTTGAGCTTGCGGAAACGGACTGTACCCACTTACGAGTTTCTGAGGAGTATGCTTTCGGAGAAAAATGCGGCTTCTGTTGTCAAGCGCGGTACCTGGATTTTCTTGGAAGGACACTCGAAGAATGTGGAGCCGAACATTGGGATTTTGAGAGAATCAGGTATGCCACAGTCATGCATTTCTCTGTTGCTTGCTAGATTTCCCCGTGAATTGATGTGGAAGACTGAAAAGTTTGGAGAAGTTGTGGATGTGGTTAAGCAAATGGGTTTTAATCTTGAAAAATCTACTTCAGCTGTTGCAATAAGCACATTGTGTGGGCACAACGGTAAGTCGAGATGGGATCAAAACCTTGAAGCTTATAAGAGGTGGGGTTGGTCTGAGGATGATGTTCTCTCCGCTTTCAGGAGGTTCCCGCAGTGTATGACTAAGTCGGAGAAGAAAATAGCGCAAGTAATGGAATTGTTAGTCAACAAGATGGGGTGGCCGTCAAGAATGATTGCCAAGTACCCGGTGGTCATGGGTTTGAGTTTGGAGAAGAGAATCATCCCGAGGTGCAAAGTTGTAAAAGTTTTGCTGTTGAAGGGATTGGTAAATATTGAAAACTTGAGTTTGGGTTTCGTGTTAAAACCTGTGGAAAAGAAGTTCTTGAAGAGTTTTGTGACCAGATATCTCCACCAAGTACCTCAAATTGCGAGTGTGTATCATGGAAATGTTGATATCCAGGATGTGTGATCTCCATTCATATTTTGCTGGAGCAAATTCACTTGGTTGCCAATGGCTGAAATATAAATTCGTTGGTTTAAACACCAGCTTGATGTTGGCCTGATCTCCCTGATGCCACCAATTTGCAGTTAATGGTGCTGCATGGCTATTGACAGGATACACAAAGCCGTGCTTGTATTGGTGTTTAATCTAATATATTCAACAGAGGAGTGAAAGGAACCTTTTCTTTTTTGGTCTATTGTTCAAATCAAAAGAAACAAATGCAAGCACGTGCACACACACATATCAGTCCTTGTGACAGTTGATGGAGTCTGTAATGAAGAAACATTTCTTCCATCTTTTATATTCGTGGATGAATGAATCTATTAGAAAGCATTTGAAGACTTTCTGATCAAAAGAAAGAAGTACGCCTTTACAACGGTACTTATTTATTGTTTCAACTCTCTAATTAATTCCTGTTCAATAAACTAAATTTATTTTTCCATAAATATGAAAAGAGCTACAGATCATGAGAAATAAGTGCTCATATGATTTTCCTGCTGTTATTAGTTAGTGCAAGCTTGTGAAAGGAAGTCCAAACTGGACCGCCAAGAAAAAAAAATGGTGCGCTTCATAAGAAAAGTTAGTTTATATAATATTACACTCACAGGGTTTAATGTAAACCCTTAGAGTTCTCTGTACTTACAAAATATGAAGATTAAAACACTTATTAAGCTCCTTCGTTATGTTAACGAGCACGTGATGCTAGATTTGTAGGAATTGAAGGTTTTCATCATGCTATGCGGTTACCTTCTCTGCTGCGAGTAACAACGCAGTTCACTCTAATTGTTTTGGAGGAAAAAACTATGGTGTTTGGTTCTGAAGTGGAATGGGGTGGAATAAAGTTTGTGTTCACTTTGCATTGCAAAGATCTATTTGTTTTTTCTCCTTGCATGACCACATTGTCATTTCTTTCACTTTCCTCATACAGTGGTGTCCAGCCTTCCTACAGTACTCTTTACCGTAGCAGAATCTCATACATGTTAAGTATTGTATTCATACGTTTGTACAGCACGTCCAAGCTATTCATAAACTACATACCAGTTACTCTGTGATTCAGAATGTGGACTTTCAGCAGCTCCTTATTGATTTCTTGCATTATTGTGAATCTGTGATGATGGATTAGTGGATTCTGTCTGACATGTCATATTGCATATCTGTCCTTGCCCTTCAGTTTGGCAGATGGAATTCGTCGCCTTGAATTTCAACTGGATCTTCGTCTACTCTTATTTACTTCTAACTTTGTCACATATCACATTGTTCGGTACGAGTACCAGTAGCTTCTACATTTAACTTTTGGTACTTGCAGTATTAAATTTGTCATGACTGCATTTGAAGAATTCTCTATAGGGTTGAGTTGCCTGCCTAATCTGGAAAGCGCCAATAACCTGAGTGTCTTTTGGGTCAGAACTGAAAGGTTGTGTTTACGCGAGGGATTTGCCAGTACCTAAGGATATAGGCTAAATATAGTTAGAGATGGACAACAAAAGATTAGATGGAGAATTATGAAATGTACTACTTGGCCATTGCAAAGACATTTGTAAACCCTCTCTAGTAGTCATTTGCATCTTAATGCATGGTATCTACTCATTTCAAATCTCTCCATATAACTTTTTGCAGCCAATTTTTAGCTATGTTTAGCTCAAATCCGTTGTCCAAACATATCCAAAGGGTCTTGAAGAAGCAGCAGAAATAAAGGTGAACATCATTTGAGTTAAAAGATAACTGATTTGCTTGCTTGATATATGATCTTATAATGCATATTAGTTTGCTTTTGTATGGTGGTGCCCTAAGCCTGTATTGACAAGGCTACCTACTTGCAGGTGAGGGTAGCATGTGCATAACTAGGCCACAGAATACGAGGGAACCTTGACCATTGGTAACTGGTACGCTCTGTCATGGAATTCAAGTCTTAAATTACTGTTTTCATGATAGGGGATGGCAAAGGGATTAGGGAAACAAGGTCTCAGGGGTAGCTTTTGAAAGGGTGGATGGCATTCCTAGAGTCCTAGTTCCGACAACTCAATTCAATGTTCTACAACTGCATTCCGGTGACCAAAACTCATTTTCATCCCTTTGAAAATTGTACGTTTAGCAAATAGTTCCCAGAACTCCGCTTGTGTAAGTTTATCTTACATTGCCGGTCCCAAGCTCGGATAAAGGAGGAGGGGGAGGGCGTCAGGTAGTCGACAGCCGACACTCCATGGTTAGGTTGAATCCTTATGAAAATGAATCCAGAACGAAGCAATGGCGTTCTAGGATTCATATAGCCGACCCCACTTAGTGGGAAAAAGCTTTGTTGTGTGTTGTTGTTGTTGTAGCAAATAGTTCCCAGATCTTCAGTGTCAAGAAAAAAGCAAAAGAAAGAATGCGTGATTAAAACGCTTATATATATAGGTGTAGATATATAGCCGTGTGCCTGTGTATAGCACGTTGAATGAGATCTTTATTTAGAATTGTGGAAGTAGGGAAAGATGATCCGTATGTCCAAGCTTTCAAAAAACCATTTTTATATTACAAATTAGATGATTAAGGAAGCAGAAGAGTTATATTTAATTTAAGCATTGAAAATCTTCACTACTTAACAACTATAGAACGTTAAAACTTCAGAAAAATGGAATCTGAAAGCAACAAGCGAAAGCCACAGCTGAACATGTGTGTCTAGTTATTTAATATTATATCACATCCTGCCTGGACGGTTCTTACCCAAATGGAAACCACTCAGAAGATGTTCCTTTTGACTACAGCATGGAGTTGGATGTTTTCTTGTTTTATATGAGTAAAAATAAAATTTAAAGGGGAGGAGGTGTTCAAGTTAGACAAGTTTGAAGGTTATATTTTAGTTGATTTCAGTTCTCTAGGTTAACACCTTAACTGTATGTTCTCAAATATGTGTCGTTATATATTTCATTAAAGAATTAGTTAGAGTCATCTCATTCAGTCACGCCTTTAAGAGTATACTGGGAGTTTTAATGAAAAGCTCGCGGTACTGTTCACTTTAACGAAAAACCATATTTTTACACTAAAAAGTCAAACCTGGTACTATTCATTTTACCCTTTATTTTGTCCCTATCATTAAAACTCGAAGTTTTCAAGCCTATTTCATTAGTTTTTCTTATATTTAATGCATGCAAATTAGCCTACGAAAAGTGTTATTTAGCCCCAAATGACAAAATTCAATTTCTAATGCGACATATTAAGCCTAGGCTAAACTTGCCCAGGGCTCTTTGAGGGGCCAGTTTAGCCTCGGCTCTTGCCCAATGCTCTTGAAGAGTCAACTTAGGAAGAAACCGGTAGCCAATGAAAACTAGCCACCTAACACATTTTAGCCCCTAGCCTCTAATACCATTAGAACAACAAATCTTGAGAGGGCTGGATTTCATGAATAATGACAGTTTGAGAGGCCAAATCTTAGGGTTGGTTTGGTATTGCTGTGCTTTGAAAAAAAACTGATTCTGATGTGTTGTGAGAATAAGTTCATTTTTGCAGCTTCACGTTTTCAGTTTTTTTTTCACCCAAAACTGTGAAAATAAGCTGTTTTTAAGTGTTTACCAAATACTTTTTTAAGCTCAGTTTTTTTTTATATCCACTTTTTATAAAAGGACATCAGTACCAAACCAGTACTAAAGCCTCTAGCCCCTAGCCCTTGCCTTTTCCAGTGGACTTGCTCTAAATCTTGGATTGATATCGTCAATTGTTTTTTACATATTCAAACTCTTGCTTTCCAGGAATCCGAACGTGTGAGAATGAAATGATGAGAAATTGACATTTATGGCATATTTGTAAGTTTATACCTTATGCACTGGTGAATTGTTTATATTTTTTGGGGTGTTTCTTTAGTCCGTCTGTTATGTTGCTTGAATGTTTGAAACTATATATCTAAAGAAATGATGATGTTGCATGCTTACACCTGTAATCCCACAAGGGTATATCCCTGGTATATTATCCTTCAATTATGCTTATGATTATTCATTTTATATCTAATTGTTAGACTCTATGATTTTGCTTATTACTGGTTTGGAATGTAGGTTTTAGTTAACACCTTGACAGCTTAAACTTTTGGAATCAGTGGTAATCAGCTGACAAAATCTATCACGATATACTCTATGAAAATCTTCAATATTATATTTTTAAAGCAACATAAAATGGTTATATTATCGTGCAAATTGACAATCTGACAACATAAGGATGTGTGTCAAGTCTGGCGAAGTGAGATACACACCTGACATATTGTGTATGGTTCTATGGTCTAAGGGAAATCGTCCCAATGTTTAGAGAATATATACTTTGATACTATACGCGAAGTATTTCTAATTGATCGTGATAGTATTCTTTGACGTTATATCTTGATGAAATAAGAATGAGAATATATATTTTGATACTATCTGTGAAGCATTTCTGTGAAATTGCCCAATCATGTCTTTCCTTGAGGTAAGTCCGGAGCGGGAGCAACTTCTACTGCTAATTCAGGCTAAACTCGATCAATAGACAGGCTGCAAATTTTCTTGTGAGAATCAAATCAACCAAATCTAGTTGGTTTCATGCTTTTGATCCTCATTTGTGCATTTGAATTTGAATAAATTGTGATTGATTGTGTCTTTATCTCTTCGCTTTGTACCTTATTCTAGTCATGATGGACTTTCTTGCGTTACAAGTAATACCAAACCTATGAGAATTTGGCTTCCAATTGCTATTCTACTTTAAGTTCGAACAATCATATTCCTAATTTTTTTTAAAAAAGGAAAAAATCTACATTTGATTGTATGTGGATTGACTAAATTTTATTGGCTTCGAACCACCTACTAGTGTTCGTTTTTTGCACGACAATATTACACCTGCCAGAATTTTGAGTGATTATTTCATTTTTTTATTCTAATACATATGATGTTGAGGGGAGGCGTATTCACACACACAACCTCGAGTGCACATATACATGCTCAAAACTGCTTGAGTGCTGAGCTCCCTTACAAGTATCAAGTGTTTATTTTATTTTTGTTTTTGAACGAAATATTTTATTTACACTAAAAAAAATGGAGTAGATTTAGCCTCATAATGGGCTAACAATAATGTGGTTCGAATTCGATTTTGATGAAAATCGAAACTAAATCTTTTTACTTACAAGTGAAGAGGAATATCATAATTACCATTAGATCATAGTACTAAGTAACAAGTGTTTATTTTATTAGTAATTAGTTGATACATAGGAAGCAATTAAAGATCAATTGGTCAAACATACACAAATTCAACCCATCAATATTTTATAATTGCACGTCATTAGATGAAATAAAATTATGCTGATTTGGTGGACCATAGTGTGGCTTGGATCACATGAAAGTCAAAGTCAATTTATATTTTTATTCAAAAAATTGGTAGAGTGTTTATTCTCGTACCCCCCAAAAAAAAGGAGAGAAATTATTTCAACTGACCACACACAGCAAATAGAGAATTA